GCGGGGCTGCGCGGAGAGGCCGAGGCGGCGGCCGGGAGGCGGCGGGAAGCGAGGGGGGGGTGGCGGCTGCGAGCGTGGAGACCTCTCCCCTCCGCCCACGGCCCGAGGCGGGGCCCGGGCCTGGCCTCAGCCCGCGGGGAGGCCCGAGCGCAGGGGGAGGGGAGCTTTGGGGGGTGTGGGTGCAAAACAGCGCTGATCTGCTTATTTTTTTAATGACGGATATTAATTTTTCTGTGCTCGGGCAAACCCGCCACACCCCAAAGGGCCGGGTCTGAGTGGCGGAGCGCCCAATAAAGACACCCTTTGTTGGGTGGCCTGGGCCACGCTCTGAGGAGAGGCTGAGGGAGCTGGGGTTATTCAGCCTGGAGAAGAGGAGGCTGAGGGGAGACCTTATTGCTCTCTACAACTCCCTGAAAGGAGGGTGTAGAGAGGTGGGGGTCGGTCTCTTCTCCCAAGTCACAGGCGACAGGACGAGAGGAAATGGCCTCAAGTTACGCCAGGGGAGGTTCAGGCTGGATATTAGGAAAAATTTTTTCACCAAAAGGGTTCTCAGCCATTGGGATGGGCTGCCCAGGGAGGTGGTTGAGGCCCCATCCCTGGAGGTGTTCAAAAGACAGGTTGATGTAGTGCTGGGAGGTATGGTTTAGTGATGGGGTTGCTCCTTGTTTGTTGTGTGGGTGTTTATTTTTGTCAAAATTAGGTTGACGGTTGGACAAGATGATCTTTGAGGTCCCTTCCAACCCAGAAGATTCTGTGAGTCTGTGACAGAATCGTCTGTGCACAGGGAGCAGGGCTGGGGGGCACTGGCTTCTGAACGAGCCCATTCTCTGCCCACACGTGATGCCCAGCCTCATTGAAATCTCTGCACCCAACTCGGCCCCCTTTCTCTTGGCTGCCTTTGCTAATTGCCCCCGATAATTTAAGTTGACACGAATATAAGGCCCCTATCTCACAAGAACTGCATCTTACAGCTTTCGCTGAGACCGAGACCATGGGAAGACAATCCCAATCCAACACCACCTTTCACCAGCTGCAGGCTGTACCGGCTGCTTCTGCACCCTGATAATAATAGGCCTGCCTTTCGACTCTCTGAACAGCTGCTTGATTCCTGCCAAAATAATAAATAAATAGAATCATAGAATTGTCCAGGCTGGAAGGCACCTCCAAAGGCCATCTAGTCCAACCTCCCCACAGTCAGCAGGGACACCCCCAACTAGACCAGGTTGCCCAGGGCCTCATCGAGCCTCACCTTGAATATCTCCAGTATCATAGTGTGAAAGAAATGTAGTTATCTGGGGGGAAGAACAAACTGCTGTTGGCGCAGTTCAGTTTGCACACTTGAGTTCCTAATCTGCAATATAGAATCATAGAATCATAGAGCCCTCTAGGTTGGAAGGGACCTTAAAGATCATCTAGTCCAACCATCAATCTACCTCTGACAAAAAAAACCACCCACACAACAAACAAAAAGCAACACCATCAACTAAACCCTATCTCCCAGCACTACATCAACCCGTCTTTTGAACACCTCCAGGGATGGTGCCTCAACCACCTCCCTGGGCAGCCCATTCCAATGGCTGAGAACCCTTTCCATGAAGAAATGTTTCCTAATATCCAATCTAAACCTCCCCTGGCGCAACTTGAGGCCATTTCCCCTTGTCCTATCTCCTGTGGCTTGGGAGAAGAGACCGGCCCCCGCTTCTCTACACCCCCCTTCAGGTGGTTATAGAGCGCGAGAAGGTCTCCCCTCAGCCTCCTCTTCTCCAGGCTGAATAACCCCAGCTCCCTCAGCCTCTCCTCACAAGACTTGTGCTCCAGACCCCTCACCATCTTCGTTGCCCTTCTCTGGACCCGCTCCAGCACCTCAATGTCTTTTTTGTGGTGAGGGGCCCAAAACTGGACACAGTAATGAAGGTGGGGCCTCACCAGTGCCCAGTACAGGGGGACCATCACCTCTCGGGCCCTACTCCCCACACTGTTCCTGACACAGGCCAGGATGCTGGTGGCCTTCTTGGCCACCTGGGCACACGCACACAATTGAAGTCACATAAAGTCCAGTGACTGCAGCCTAGCCAGGCCTTGCCACAATGTCGTTTGAGGTTGTCCATCAATCTGGTGCCGTTCCCCTGCCCATCAGCAGCAAGGCCCCAGGCCAGGCCTCTTGGATTCTTTTTCTCACTGCGCTGGCAGAGAAATAGCAGCAGGAGCTTGGCTCCACCTGCAGCCACAGCTCCCTGCCAGCTTGTCCCCTCTGGGGTGCCTGGTAGGGACCTATTCAACATGCACCCGAGGAGGATGCTGTCGGATGAGCGTGTGACTGCAGAGCTCGTTTTCCTGCTCATGTTTGGAAAAACCCACTATTTGCTGCAGGTGGCACAGCCGTACCTCAGAAGAAGTGACTCAGGCCAGGAGACACAGGGAATTTAACAGGTGAGGAGTCCCTGGGTGCCTGGTACAGCCATGACCCCTTTTGATCAGCAGGTCTCCTCCCAGGCCGTGCCCACCCTCAGCTTCTGGCTGGGTGCAGAAGCAGCTCCAGAGGAGGTGGAGAGGGCAAGAGCACGGGGAGGACTTTTCTCAGGCGGTTTGGACCACGAGACCTCTGGAGAGGCGTGATGCTGAGGATGCAAAAGCGTTCAGTGCCGGCCCTACCAGGGCAGAGGGATTTCACCACCGGTGTCAGTGGGCTCAGAGTTACACCAGCCTTGCCCAGGTGTGGACATCGTACCCGTGGGGTCTGGACGAGAGGGAAAACCCCAGTGCAACAGTATTCACAGGGGTATAAAGGAAAGAAGTACAGGTGGCTTTGAGTGGATTTATGCATTTCTACATGGTGGCCAATGGACGGGGATTATAAAAAGCAGAGTTTTTCCTTTCCCTTTTTCCCGACGTACTGACAGGGTAAGGGCTTTTCTGGTCTGTAAGAAAGTTATGCTTGTGATTCAGGGAGAGTGGTTCCACAAAGCAGAAGGTAACTGAAACGAAATAGGCCAGACACATTAAAATCAACGCATTTAATAAAATAAACCATCTTTTTTTCTTCCCTAAAAGTTGTGTTAAAAAGATGCAAATATACATTGGTTCAAAACCGAGAGAAAGCTCCTTGTTCAGGGGTGCGTCATAAATTTTCAAAGCAATGAAACCAACTAGACAGGTGTGTTTGGGGGGTTAGACTGAATTGGCCAGGCAAGCTTTTTTTCCTTTGCTTCTCTGTTAAAAGCATCATAGATGGAGTCTTTGGTGACAGTTTTGGCTGGAGCTGGGATTTCTGCGATCCCAACGTGATTCTTTTTGGCTATCCTGGAACTGGTGGTGATGGTGTATACGTTGGTTCTGTAATATTTCATGGCGGACATGCAACAAGTTTCTTTCATCCCTCTTCTGAAGTTTGCATTGTACACGGAGTAGAGAGTTGGCTTCGAGGCTGAAGAGCTGAAAGAGATCCAGGTGACGGCCAGGAAAACCAAGGAGCTCTTTCTGTAGTCTGTTTCCTGCGGGTGCCACAGTTGTACCACGTAAAAAGGGAGCCAGGACAGAAGAAACACTGAGTTTAACATTAAGAACATCTTAATGGTCTTCACTTTTGTTCTTGGGACGATATTCATTGTCCTCCTGACAGTCATGCCATCTGTGCCTATTCTCCAAATGTACTTGATGACCTTCTGGTAGAAGAGGATAATGAGGATGGATGGGATCAAAAACACCACCAAGAGGTGGATGATACTGTAGGCGGCTCCTTCCCAAGAACTGGGGAGGAAAAAGTTGCAGTGGTCGTCGCTGTTGGAGCCATAGAAAAAGAAAACTGGTGATGCAAAGACAGCATCAAACAGCCAAGAGGCCAGAATCATTTTCTTGGCTTTCTCCCTGGACACTTTGAAGCTCAGGGGGTAGACAATAGTGTAGAATCGATCCACACATATAGAGAGGAGCACATATATGGCCAGGAAAACCAAGGAGCTCTTTCTGTAGTCTGTTTCCTGCGGGTGCCACAGTTGTACCACGTAAAAAGGGAGCCAGGACAGGAAAAACACTGAGTTTAACACTAAGAACATCTTGATGGTTTTCACCTCTGTTCTTGGGACAATGGTCATTGTCCCAGTCATGCGATAGGTGCCTATTCTCCTGATGTACTTGATGACCTTCTGGTAGAAGAGGATAATGAGGATGGATGGGATCAAAAACACCACCAAGAGGTGGATGATACTGTAGGCGGCTTCTTCCCAAGAACTGGGGAGAAAAAAGTTGCAGTGGTCGTTGCTGTTGGAGCCATAGAAAAAGAAAACTGGTGATGCAAAAGCAACATTGGACTGCCAAGAAGCCAGAATCTTTTTCTTGGCTTTCTCCCTGGACACTTTGAAGCTCAAGGAGTAGACGGTAGCATGGAATTGATCCACAGATATAGAGAGAAGCATGTATAACTGGACCCCAGGGGTGAGGTACTGCACGTACCTTACCAGCTTGCATATCATCTTCCCCAGCATCCACCTGCCCCAGGTAAACTGGAGCAGCACGAAGGGCATGCTAGTGACACTGATGAGAAGGTCAGCACAAGCCATGGAGACGACAAAATAGTTGGTGGTGGATTGTGTTCTCCTGCTCCTGTGGATCACTAAGCAAACGAGGGAGTTTCCAAAGACAGAAACCAGCCACAGCACTCCCAAGACCATGGTGGCTGCTGCAATTTCCCCCGGGCTCAGCTCATACTGCGAGGCAGTGTGGTTCCTGCTTGAGCTGGGTCCTAGGGGTGACTCCGTCATCTCGCAGCCGGCAGGAGGGATGAAGGTTTCGGGGTAGCTCTTGTTCTGCTGCGGGAGCAAGAAGGTCGGGAGAACAAAGGGACCACTGCTGTTCTCCATGCTGTGGGCAAACATGGCCACCTCTTTTGCTCAGGCTGCATAAAGAGAGAAGAGAAAAGGTGATATTTAACAAGTATTTAACAAGTGTGAAAAACCTACCTTAACCGGTGAAAGATAATACGTGCTAC